AGGTTATTAAATCAAAGTAAATTCCATCTGCCTCCTTCCCCCATTAAATTAGGAGCTGTGAGAAGCTCAGAAGGCTCCTTTCCTAGGTTGAACCAGAAGGGGGCTTCAAAGCAGTGGCTGGAGCTGGAGGTATATCCACATGTCAGAAGGCCAGCCCTGAGCACTCTTAATGCCAAATCTCAGAACTCACCTTCCCCACGCTGCCTCAAAGATGACTAACACCCGTGTAATTTAGGTTTAAGGAGCCTGAATAAGGCTTCCCAATGCAACTATTTCACTGAAAATTGAACACTCAAGACCAATTAAATTTTAGTTAAGATGAAGTCTCATATTACATTTATCTATTTTTCTCTAAGTTTCTATTTCCATGTGTCAAGAAAAAAAAGTCATGGAATGTGTGTATATATGTGTGGGGAACATTACTTAAAAGTATCTCTTTAGGTCAGCAAAGTTCTAAGCAAGGAGAGACCACAAAAATTCCAAACCACATCCCTAAGAAATTTCTATCTAAAGTACACATACACAAGGTTGCAGTTAATAACAATGTTCGCTCTATTCATTCAGAAATCCAACAAAAGACAGTGACATTTATATTTAGCTCTAATATAAGCAACTCTTGTGGGCAGAGGGCTGAATTTGGTGCTAAACCAGATGACTAAGAAAAATTCATTTTTCTAGTTGTACTTGTTTGTGAAAAATGTGAAATGATGCTTCATTATAGGTTGTCAAAATATTTAAACAAATTGTTACCAAGTATAGACTATGTATAAGGCTCTCAAAGTAAATACAAAGGTGAATGAAACTCAGTTTTAGTGCTGAAGATACTAAGCATCTGGTGAGGAAGACAGTTATGAACTCTGCTAACTCCACACAAGGCACAGGGCTAAGCATTGAGAGTAATGCCAAAGGAACACCAAGAAGGAAGAGTCATCAATCACCAGCTCTAAGCCAATTTGTAGTTATCAGCATAATAGTAAAAGTATGTGAAAAAGCAAACAAAAGACAGTTAAATATCTGCTATCATTAAACTTACTACTAAAGAACTATTGACAATTAACTAGAATTCTCCAGGTCTTATGATAATGAAAAAAAAATCACATCTGAATTCTTAAATCTAACCTTAACCAGATTAATTTGTTTCTGGAAGGTCAAATGAAAAAAAACAATAAATGCCCAACTCCACGTGTGCTTCAACACAATCAGTCTGACTTCTTTTCTTCTTCTCCTGCTTCCAAAAAAGATGTAAGAGCAAATTCAGTTTTCATAAAATGAAATACGCTTCTTATAGATAAGCTTCAACAAAGGTATTGGACTTGAGGTACAATGGTAGGCCACAATGGCAGGCTCCCCTGGCTGCAAAATGCAGACCTTGGGGTGCCACCGATGGGAGAGCCCTTTCCCCTCACCCACATTCCCTCTTTCTGGGATGAACTTAGAAACACTGGCACGCAAAGTGGTAGATAAGTCTTTGCAGCCCACACCACCTGAATTAAACTGGTCTCAATGGACACTCTGACACTCTGGCAAAGGCTAACCAGAATAAAGCCATTCTCAGGCCTCATGTATAGCAATCATTCCACAAAGTCAACTGACTGTTGTCTATCAAAGTGCACGCTGGCTCAATGCGTACACTAAAGAAGTGTTGGCCAACAGTTCTAATTTAGTAAGTGGTTATACGGCAACTTCCTTATGCTGAGCATGATCTAAGGTGCTCAGAACAGGAGGGAGACAGAAAAGAAGTACAGAGTCTCCAGGAGCTAATAATCTAGTGGCTTAAAAGACACTTACCAAACTTTAAGACCTAAATTCTGAAAACCTTAGAGGTAAGATTGAAAACAAAACAAAAACAAATGCTTACCTTTGTATAATAATTAATCCTGATCCCCAAAGTCGTGTTTAACCTTAGCAGTCTGCTTTAAAAGGTGGGGGTGGGGGGGCTCTGTTTATCTTTAGTGCCTGGTTCAAGAATCTCTGTTGTTAAGCGGGAAAACAAGACATTATGTTTTTACTTCTTTTTAATACTATTTCCAAATAATAATGTTTCACTTAGAAGTGAATATATACACGCAGGATCTTTTCTGCCTCGCTTTAATAACCCATGATGATTCAAAATCTAATGAATTAATGTCAGTCTGACCCTAGCTAAAATGAAAACGTAGGAAAGTACTGTCTTCCAGTATGGATACAGGCCTTCAGAAATCAATGATTGGGGACAAAAAAGGCCATGGAAACAGTTATAGGTATTTATCAAAAAAAGATCAAATCTCTTTTCTCTCTTGCTAAGGGTATGTTTCTCAAACAGTTTTCTTCACATCTATAACCCCACCGCACCAAAACCATTTGATCTTGAACCTTTAAATCCTGCTCTTTTGTGATGCACGCATCAGTGAATGCTCCTGTTAGAAAGAGAAATTCATGCTACTCGATTACTTTTACTCAATAGGCTTAGAGTCAGAATTTTAAATAAAAAAAAAGTCCAAAGTTATCGTAATTTGAAATTAACCAAGTCTTTTGGCTAAAGAACGTTAATCCCCAGAGCATCTTACATACAAGAAAGACATTCTGCACTCCATTGGTTTTTCTCTTATCATATATATACTCATTGAAAGCCATACACGAATAGTAAAAATCAAGAGCAGAATAAATAATACGATTTTCACCTAGGCAGTGCTTTACATAAAACTATAAACTGTCGTATAATGAACCTTCGCAACAGCAGTAACGTACAATCAAGAAGTCTTCAGATTATCTGAGAGATAATGTAAACACCAATTTAAAATGTGCCAAGAGTTCAAGGTAACAAATACCTAGGTACCATATATTGTCAATGATTTTCTCCCTTATAAAAAACATGGTCTTCTTACTGTCAAATGATATAGGAACCTAATCTCTTTCACTGACATAATAAAAAGGATCCAAATCTTGGAAACAGGTGAAAAATCCAGTACTCTAATACCACAAACTCATTCATTCCTAATGAGATGCTATTCTTTATAATACCTCAGAGCAGAAGACCTATAAATAGTTGGGATTCAAAGTACATCTGAATTTCAACTGTTTTGATATTTATTTTCTATCCCATTTACTTGATTATTAACAGATAATAATCAACCAAACCCTTTCAAAAAGCTATTTTAATAAAGGCTCTGAAAGAACTTCATTGCCGGTATTATTAATTACTATTATTACATGAGGGAAATAACCCAGTGACAGCAAGTATTCAATTTCACAAAACGAATCAGTAGCAGAGCCTGAGAGACAATCTAAGACTCTGATTCAATACAATCCACTAAACCACAAACAGCAAGAGCAAACACAATCTTTTCTAAGCCTCACTATACATCATCGTACCCATTTTTTCCCCTAAAATCATTTTCACAGAGTCATATCAGCTATGTGAACTAACAGACTCTCCCATGATGTAGCAAAGATAAAATCGGATCCTTACCACAGCTGCTAAGCTTAGTGGCTACTGTTGCTTTTTCTTTCTTCTAAGATCTTTGCTGCTTCTAATACTTACCTGATGTGCTTGGCGACAATCTAAAAGCACCCGTTTTTCTAAGATCTGTCAGTCCATATATTTCTTTGGTGTGTGGGAGAGGGTGCTGGAGGGGAGCAGTACATACAATGATAAATCACTTAAGCTTATCAGTAGCAGCCCGCAGTAGGACTGAACTTTAAGTTATGAAGAGAATTCCTTCCAGCCATTTGTTTTCAAAAAGGAATTTTGCATGCATTATAGAAATAAAATCCAAAAATCATACATAAATCAGGAAAGGGTGAAAACAAGAAGACAGAAAGTGATTACTCCATTTTATTAACCCTAGTTCAAAAAATCCAGATTAAAGTATTCAGGGAGACTCTGAAATATACAACTGTCACAGTGAAAACATTTCAGAAAATGTGCTGCAATATGCTACTATGATTAAAAGCCATATAATCCGGGGAACCTCTGTCACAGAAAGAATAAGAAAATGAACTAGGCAAATAGCTTTTTACACACTTTTCTAAAATGAAAAGGCTGTAATTTTGTCACAGTTACACAAAGGTAGGTGCAACTTCATCTTTCCCTAGTATAAAAACATATTTTCATCCATAGGTATTTGATTACATTCAAAGAAATCACACATGGTTTAATACCAAGAAATATTATTTTATGATACTATTACATGTGTTCTAAGTCTGAACCCATCGTAACACATACTAAGGGTAATCATTTACTATATACTCTCTAAATAGAAAAGACCCTCGCACCGCTCTTCTTCTACTTTTGTTTTTTTAAATGTACAAATATTATCGGACACAAACGAGAGAATAAGGAGCAGCAATGAGGTACACCATATGTTCCCACTGTAGGCTGAGTCCTGGTCTTTGTTCCAGTATTCTAGAGCCACTGAAAGGAAAGCCAAGTATCCATCCATTAAAACATTTTTACATTATTTCTGGCAAAAGTTATACTACTGATAGGTTCACTCATCTTGATTATTCCTGCCTGCATTTGCTTCTTTAATACAGATCTCTTGCAATTCTATGAGCCTGCAGTACAACCACCTTGGAAAACAGGTCTGTAGCAGGACAATCTGATAAAACAACGTAACGGGTAGACATTGAAGAAGAATGCAAACTTAGTTTCCTAGTAAAAGAGTTCAGAAGTAATTCTATATCAATGACAAAATTTTTGGTTTTTACCAGCTACGCACCTATCCAGATATTATCCACCTTGCAGGGTTTCCCTCAATCTTAAAATCTCCCAGGACAGTTTTAACGGTACAACTCAAACCAAAAACACTAACCACGCCCTTTATACCCACAGTCAAGCCACCTTTTGCTCTTTTTTCCCCCTCAAAGTAACAAATGTACATCTTTCACCTACAAGGGTTTGCACCAGTTCCCCAACCCGAGTCAGAGACTCTTTTTAGCCATGCCTTGAAATAATTCCTGTTGGAAGATGTTTTCCCGCGGGCAGTGTGCGGATGCCTAGAAGAGGCACCCACGCTTACCTCCCACGCACCTGCAACCCCTGGCGGGATGCTGGAGCTGCTGCTCCCAGGACTGCGCTCCGCTCCGCTCCGCTCTCGTTCCTGCTCTCTTCTCTCCCGGGAAACTACAGTCCAGGCTGCGCCTTCGGCGGCTACAGGGACCCAAGCTCCGCCTCCCCCTCCTCTAGTTGGCGAATCGGCAGCTGTTGCTCCTCCCCCTGCTGTTCCTGCTGCTGCCCCGGCTGGAGGCGGCGGGAAGCCGCTGCCCTGGTACCTTCCCGCTCCCCGCACTTCTGCAGTTGTTCTGTCGCTTCCCTTCCCCTGGGGACCCCTCTCCTCTCACTCCGCGGCCTCACACCTGGAGCTGCCTCTCGCCCCGTCCGAGCACCTCCGTGAGAAGCTCAGGCTCAACCGATCCCTCCCCGACCCGCAGGTCTGGCCGCCCGGTGTGCCTGGGGCTCGGCGGCTTTCGGGGAAGCTGCTCCTCTGGCCAGGGCGCATCCCCACACCGCGCCCTCCCTCCACCCGGCGATTCCCCCGATGCTTCCTCTCCGCCGGCGCGGTGTCCACAACTCAGGCGCCCCACGTTCCCCACTTCGAGCTCTCCCCCCACCCCCCCTTCCTTCCTCTATCGGCTAGCCCGCCCCCACAATGGGTGAGTCGCCTGTGGGGCCAACCCTGCACCCTGATTGGCGCAGGTGAGAGCTGACCCCTCCCTTCCTCTTCTTTCCGTGCACCCTCTCTTTTCATCTCACCTCCTCCCGCACAGGCAGGGAACTCTCCTACTATTGGCTAGAAGTGTCCCCACCCATCGGCTCAGGCTCCACCGCACTGCCTGCTGGGAATTGTAGTCTTGCTTGTGCAGGAACTGCCGACGACGCCGGCGAATGGGACTACGAGTCCCCATAGGCCCCTGCGCGACTCCGGCTGGGCAGGATTCCGGACAACGCCTGGTTCCTCTCGGGTCCTTCCGGCGTCGCCGGAGTGAATTGATCCGGGAGTTCAAGAGGGCTCCAAAGGTGGGACGTGAAGTCTGTGCCTCACTTGTCGGTAAGGTGTGGCTGTTGTGTCCCAGTCCCTGTAATCCCCCGCGGAGCAGAAGAGGTCTGGGGTCACACAAGGGCCGTGGCTGAGGCACTCGGGCTTGGCTCCGCCAGGCGGAGCGGACGGGGCTGGGAACGGGGCCCTATGGGCGTAAGCGAGGTTACCCTACGCGAGTGGCGTAAAGCGGGTTTGTAAATGCCGCCTGCCCTGTTCAGGCCCGAGCGCCTCCAGGAAGTCTCTAGGTGGAGGCGGGAGGGGAAGGGCATGGTTGGCCTCTGGGGCCGCCGGAGAAGGGAGAGGGCGGATGTGCGTGGGGTGGGGTCCTCTGAAGGTGTGGCTTGGGGCGGGGAGATGAGGCTGCTGTTTTCCCCCTGCTTTGGAAGTGGGATAGAGGAGGAGTGGAGAAGGAAGAGGTGCTTGGGAGTCTGCTCTTGGGGTGAGTCGGGTTCTGCCCTTTGAGGGAAGAGGAGAGCTGTAGAAGGAAGAGTCAAATGTTGACAGAGATCTACGGATTTAGTTTCAGTTTCATGATGTGGCCCCTCTAAGTAGGTAATTTTACCCTAAGGAGAAAAGCATAACCCGCTTAGATGTAATTCCTAATCTAAATGTGCGCTTTTACAGTTTTCAGAGAGCATTCACGTTGGGATGCTGATGAGGAAACTGAGGAGATAAATGACGTGCCCAAGGTCACACAAGTAGGGCCAGATCTCTAATCTGATTATAGTCCAGCTTCTGAATCAGAGCTGCCACACCAGAAAGAAGGAGTAAGGAGATTGGTTGTGTTTTCTGAAAAGGGTGGAGGAAGTTGCAAAGTAATGGATTTTATATGTTTCTAAGATGCCATTTGTGAGGTGAAGAGTTTTTTTGACCAGGGGAGAGATTCCTCAGTAAATGAAGGACACACTCTTAGCGTTTTGGGAAAATAAGAAGAAAGAGTCAGTTTCAACTTAGATATTTTTTCCTTTTATTAGAGGTGTATTAAGTAATGAACTGTACTACCATTTTAAATTTTGTTTATTGCAGTAACATTGGTTTATAACATTGTAAAAATTTCAGGTGTACATCATTGTACTTCTATTTCTGCATAGAT